CCGTCTGTCAGAGATCCAGAAAATAAAATCTGTCATTTTTATCAGGTCAGCTGTGGAATAAAATGTTTGTAAAGTGTTTGTAGTTGATCTGCTTTAGGGAAAAGATACAACAAAAAAAACCTTTTGTTGGAAACATTATATCAAACCTTGTTTGAGCCAAGTTTTGCTTGCGGTCTTCTCTGTATACCCTGCTGAAAAAAAAAGATTTTTATTGAGTTTTAAGCACACARGTCGTAAAAACAACATGCTAAACCTTGTTTTACTTAACACTATGTTAAACTTTTATCAGTTGTAGAAATGAACAATTTTATTTTTCATCCTTATTTTATTTGTAGAAATTAACATGCACAGTGACTGCTAGACATAGGGACCAGTGATATGACCCAGAAAGAAAGAAGCAGGTAKTATAATGGATGGATGGATGGATGTTCTGAGCTTTGATCTAATACAACACTTTATATTTTGGAATAAARATGTGCTTTACAACTACAGCAGACTGTTTAATTGTATTTTAAAGAATCAATTCTACATAYTATTCCTCAGAACTTTATTAAAGTTAATATTGTTTTTAGAAAATAACCATATTATTATTCAGTAATGAGYGTGTTGCTTTGATTAGTCATGTGAAGAAATGGCTGAGTCAAAGCTCTRGATTTYTTGGTCTATCTGTGTGTACCTTCTGACCCTTACCCAGCTAGCACTCAATGTTCAGACGTCTCCTGAACGTTGAACAGAGTTCTGTTTTGACGTTCAGTGGTGTAGAACGTGGTATAGCTGTTTTAGTTTGGTAAAAACTAAACATCTGAATTTGTCATTATTTGCACAGTACTGTATGGGGTGCAGAGTGTAAAATGAAATGTTAAAAATTTAACTAACATTTTTCATTATTCAGCTCATTTTTTGAGTGTTTAAAATTTTCCACTTGTTCTTTAGCTCACTGTTCTTACATTTAGCTAGCTTTTACCACATGTTAGATTTAAATGTTACGTGTATATACTGCAGGTAAAATAAGTATTGAACACGTCA